AAAATATATAAGCACAAAATAAAAATATTTAAAAAAAAACATTGAGTTCATGGCGGAATTATTAAAAAAAGAAAAAATTGCCTCCAATATTAATAACAAACAAAGCGCGCGATGTGCTGCCGCATGCAGCAATAGCAGCAGCATTTCTATTCAGCGCGCAATAATAACCAGCACAATCTGTGAATATACTTAAAAAGCAAAATTTACAGGAAAAGCCGAAATCCCGCCCGAAAAACTGTTATTACTTTTTCGCAATTTTAATCAACAAATCCTACGGATCAATATAAAGCACGCAGCTATTTCCTAAAATCACTGAAAAAGAGGAGTTTTAGAGAAAGTAGGGATTTTTTAGGGCTATCAACTTGAAATTTGACAACGGAGCAAATGAGGGGTGCGAATGAAAAGGAGTCTTCTTTTCGCGAAAGGAAAACCATATCGTCGAAAGGTCGTAGAAATTGTTGAAAAATTCAAAGAAAATTAGCCATGTTCAATAAAAAGTCAAAAATTCAACAGGATGCACTAGCTTGTACCGGAGCATGATCAAATGTATTGATCGCGCAGCGCAGTGTTCAAGCGCTATCATCACTGGGGAAAAGATGGTAAAAATTACAAAAAAAGGGGGAAAGACTGTAGTAGTTTCGAATCTCAACGATCCGCATTAGCTGCTGAACACTGCAGTAAAATTACAATAGTTATAAAATGTTTAGAAAGCGTTACAGTCACTGGGTTTTTTTTCGTTTAATGGTAAAAATGGTAAAAATTTACAAACCGGAGGGAAGAGGACAGCATGTCCCTCTCCTGGGCTAGTTCCGCTATCTCTAGACCTAATGTTCGGTGCATTCGGAAGTCGTCATTGCACAGTTAATTTCAGGGCAAAATTCTGCATATGTGCAAAAGTCACAGGAAGATCACCGCTAGTTGAGCTAAACATACAGGTAGGCAACGGGAGATATTCATACCGTTTCACATTTTTTTTCAGAAAAACGGAGCAGAGAAAAAGCAAAATATGAACTAGAACCACTAGTAGTAAGCTAATCATTGGGAGGACTGGAAAATCAGTTTCGGATTCACAAAAAAGCCAGCAACGTCGCCGGGATGGAAGTACCTTACGAAGAAATAAGAATGTTATTAAGTGGTAGTATATACGAGGGTGTTTTTTTGGCTTCATTCAATGGTCAAAAAAAAAAAAAAAAAAACAAAAACAAAAAATCATTGCGCGATGAAGAAATCGCAGAAAATACGTGTGACGCCAGGGTAAAACGAGCATGAAAAATAAGGACGGAGCGATCAGCCAGCTCAAGAAAAGCAAATGCAATCCCTATGGATTGCCTGCTAAGTGCTGGCAAAATATGAAGCAACACCGACGATGGCTGCTTCCAACTGTATCATTTGCTGTCATCCTCGTCATCAGACATTATTAGAAAAATATTGTCACTCTGACTTTCGCTTGCGTTGGGCACCTCTGAAATTTTCGAATTAAATTGAAAAGAAGCGCGTGTATCCGAAGTCACATCTTGGCTTTGTGATAACAGACGATCTAACTGATAACATAAGGATTAACTGAAATAACTGTTGAGCAAGAAGTCAAATCTCTTCTCCCCTTCCCACTTCCCCTTTCATGATTAACATACTGTGAGAGACGGAAGTACTCGACAGCGACCAGAGGAGGAATATACTGTAATTAACAGTTGTAACCAGTTCACGGAAACTCCACGGGCAGTCCTCAAATCTATGCTCGAGTCTGAAGTAGGCGTCCTTGCCGCTACTGAATTTTAATAGCACTCAAAAAGGACTTCACTGGATTTTCGAAACTCCGCCAACCCCAAGAAAGGGGCTACTTGAGAATCTGCCAATCCAGAAATACTCTTCTCAAAAAAAAAATTAGATAAAATGGGCCATTTACCATGCTCGTCTGGAATAATAGCCACAACATCGCTTATGTGCCGCTTCTGACGTCTGATATGCGGGCGAACTTTTGAAGTTCGGCTGTGTCGTCCTTTTTGTTTATTGAAATTAGGACTCCTGGCGGAAGAAGCAGCACCACCAGCAGCACGAGCCACCGATGGAGATCGCCTCAGCGGTGGCACCAATTTGCCGATTGAGGAAAGAGGCCTTGGTGGACCCCTGGTAGTTGGAGCTCTAGTTTTGTTATTTGTTATGGCGCTTTCGTTCGGTACTCTTTGGTTACTGAGCGGCAGAACGTCATGAAGCCTAAGGCCGCCACTTCTACCATAGGCATTCGCGATCATTTCGGTGACAACGTCCACTGGCGACTGGCCACTGACCGCAGATTGATTTACAATTGCAGAAACCATCTGTTGGACGCTTTCTGAATTGCTTGCACTCATCGAGTTACGAATGTTTGGAGGAGGCTGGGACATGTCCGGAGGAGGACAATTCAAATTGACAGATGCGCCTGAGATGATGTTCAGTGACGGCGTGGACATGGGAGCAGCTAGACTGCTAGCTCTTGAGCCTGAAGCTGCGCCACCAGGAGCCATCGGTGGAGGAGTGGAAAATGCAGGAGGAGCAGTAGCAGCAGCAGGCGGTGCACGAGGAGGTGGAACAGAAAACGAAGGCGGTGGAACGTTCATTGCCGGGAAGCCAGGCAATCCCATGCTGCCCGGTAAAACTTCCTTCACTTCAGTCGTCAACGAAGCCTGCACGGTTCTCTGGATATGGGCATTTGATGGAGCTGCTGCCGAGTCGGTGGAAGCCATGCCAACCGATTCTTTACCAAATGTGCTTTGCATCAAATTATTCTTGGTGACAGTAGCAGGTGCAGCAGCGGTCAAATTTGTCCTTGTTGAGGGCGCAGTAAATGGTGGCGCCATCGGTGGAGGTACTGAGAAATCGGGAGGCGGAATGCTGACTGCAGTTGATCCGGAATGCAGTGCTGCCAGCAAGCTAGACGCACTGGACTGAGCTTGCAGATTCTGTGACGAGGTGCTGCTGATTACGGGCAAAGCGTTCACCGCAGTGGTTGAGGCATTCGAGGACAGCGACTGGACAGAAGGAGAGGAGCAAGAGGGAGCGAAACCAGCGCCAGTCGAAGATAGTGCTTGCTGCGTTGGTGGCAAATTCGAATTCTGCATTGTACTGAGAAAGGCTGTTCCCGACTGATTTGACAACATCTCTGAATTTGTCATTGGAGCAGCTCCAATTGGTGGCGGCGGTTCCGAGAGATTTGGAAGCTGCGGTCGAGACATTTCGGTTTGTTTGAAAGTGGAGTGATAAGGTTGTGAGGAATCGTGCCGACATGAATTTTCCGGATTCATTGGGCCAACAGTCCTGAAAAACAAAGAAAGTGATACCCACCTACCAACAGACACCATTTCGATGAAATGTGATAATACCGGACCTCTTTCTATGACCTTCAGAAAAAGTTATATTCATAGCGCTACTCATGCCAATGCTGTAGAAGAGCAAATTAATTCCCGGAATAAGTGCTTCTTCACATGAAGCTTTTTTAACTTCCGCTCTTTCGCTTGGAATCCACTGAACGGTGGCAATTACTAAAACTCGGGTGGATCGCTACTCTAGCATCTCCACCAACGCTATTTCACGGCGACGTTTGCCGACGCCGTTTGGTGCTCTGCCAGGAGTATTGGGTAGTGCTCCCAGCGCACTATGGCTGAAACGCATGGCTGGGTGGAAGCGTTGGAGGGACGGATACGGAATGGGGCAGGATGGAAGAGAGAAACAAGGGTGCTAGTGAGGAAGCTAATGCTTAGTTAAAGCTGAGAACTCTTAGCTTTATGAATAAGCTTTATCCAAACTCCTTCCCTTGCTTCGAATCTCCGCACGCGAAATCCGCATACACCATCCACTTCACACCCATCCCAACCCTTTTCTCGTTCTCGAATCCCATACCCAAAAAATGTGCTCATGCATTGCCAACCCTCCCCGCCCTTCTCGTATCCCGCGTATCCGCGGCAAAAACCAGCAACATGGATGCTCCTCCTCTCCACCCATCACCCCTCTCCTTCACGTGGCCTAGGCAACCGCCAAAGGATCCACGCCACTTAACCATCCTACCAACCCAAGCCCTCTTACCCCAATTCCTGAGCCCGGGACCCACACACCGAACCCCTCCCTCCCTCTTTCCCTCAATCACCAGCCCATCTGCGGCATCCAGCTCCTTTGCCGCAGTGGTGGTAAAAACACCTCAAAAAATTGCTCGCAGACTGTGTGTGACGCCGGCCGAGCTCAGTCGAGCCAAGTTTCAGTAGTTGGCCTAAACGGCTGTTACAAATGACAATCATTACGAAACCTCAGTGGAACAGGAAAATCAGGATGCGTCGCTGCCGGAGCTGGAGAAGGAGGCTTCATCAAGCTGGCAAAGCTGCTCACATCCTGAAGTCCGGAATGCATCAGACTGTGCTGTCCCTTCATACGCGTAGCAGTATCGACTCCTAAAATAAAACTTATTGCAAAAAACAGAAAGGAAACTGCAACATGGCCTTTGTAAAGATGACATTAGCAGGAAACTCTTAGAATCGAACAACACGAAAACTTCGGCTGAGAGAGGGCTATTCAGTAGAAGTTGAGGGTCGAAAAGCATTTTGCTGCACAAAAAAAAAGGAATGCAGATCCAAAAAACTACCGCTTATTCTGTTCGTTTTCACGTTTACAAGCCGCTCATGAAAATTATTACTAGCAAAAAATAACAAAAACATCTCGATGACCAGCAACACAGGCAGCAAGCTGGATTCCGAATTATAACAAAATGGACCTATTTTTCATCCTAAACTAGTTGCTGCTACATGTAAAGCAACAAATATTTTCCTATCTCCTTTTCATCGATAAGTAAAAAGTATTCGATAGCGCAGAGCTTAATGCTGTAGTACGAAATCTACGAAACTGGATTAATCATGTGTAAGAAGGGCTCCTTTTTACAAAACGGCGTGCATAAAACGTTAAATGCAGGTCCATGTGGTCCGCATGCGTACTGCTACTTACCTTCTGAGCTCAATTTGTTCGACGAAGCACTTGTCTGTGTAGGAGCCGGTGCCGCACGATGATACGCGGATGAATTTTCAGCTGCGCCAAGCAGTGGTCGTCCAGTGGCATGAGAAATTTGACCGAAGCTTGACGAGTTTTCAAAATTTCCCAGTGATACACAGTGGCCACTGGAATTGTTCCGCAAAAACTCAGGGCCTGTCTTTGAAAAAATCTCATGCGCAGGTCCAGTTCCGGAAAATCTGGAATCTTCGCGGAGGTCGTGCCTGCTAAACAGCGGTTTCGAACCATCATCGCAAGTGCTTGTTGAAGGATCGGCTGGATTCATGTGGCCTGGACCATTTAAAGCAGAATAATATGGTCTGTCATTGTTAGAAAAACTTGTCGCCTGATCAGTGTTTCGCGTTGTCTGCGCGGCACTTTTCAGAGCACTAGTTTGAATGGATGACGATGATCCTCCTCCTCCGGTTCTAGCTGTTGCTTCCGTTCCAGCCTCATCGCATGTTCCAAGGGCACCACCTCCACGCCCACCACCCTCTTCCCGTATTTCCACAGGACCATCATTTCCCGAATTTGCGCGTGCTGCATTTACTGCTGCTGTTGCTGCTGAGCTCCCGTGAGGTACGTCGAAGAGACTTGGGATTCGAAGCCGCTGCTCCAACTGACATGTTGCTGTTGCCCCTCCATTCACTTCTGGTAAATCTAAAAAAGAAGCAAAGATCAGTACAAAAAAGCGACGCAAAACTACGGAGATCGAAAGCGGTACCCAGTGCATTTACCCCTCTCTCGCCACCCCAAATATCTGCTTTCAAACACGTGCCCATGATAATCATACTTTCAGTAAATATTACGATTTGTCAGCTTCACGTTTTTGACAAGTAATCGAATTTCAATAAATATTACGGTTTATGAATTTCATGTTTTTTCCAAGTACTCGAATTCTGAAACAAAAAGTTCCCTGTGAAAGGAAGAGATGTGGAAGTGGGACCAATAATAGCCACACTACGGGCATCAATCGCTCGATCAGAAAGCTGCCGGTAGCTTCCTTTTTCTGATGTTTACTTGACAAATGAACTGCTCATGGCTATTTGGCTTCCCCATACACATACAGTATCATCTACCGAAGCAGGCCAGTAAATCATAGAAGGATCGATTTCCCCAGAATCGAAAAAGCGGCTAAAATTCTGGCA